TAACGAAATGAAAGCGATAACAAAATGTTATTCATTTCGACATAACTCGATATTAGAAGTTAAAAGCTAAAATGGCATCGTCTTGTAAATGATGTTGAAAAAAAATCTAGAACAACGTCCAATAAATTATTTAATATAAATATTTTTGAAACAAAATTCTTGCATGTATTTTTGCAAGATAAAAAAAATTAGCAATCAATCTTGTAAATTAGCAAAAGATCAAACACAAATATTGGCTGCTAGTCAAACAAGCAGCAAGAATGGGGCATTCCCAAAATAGAATCTACGTAGCTATCCCTAGAATTTAGCTAGCAAGCCGGCTAACATTTAATTTGTACATACTCAGGTTTCATAACAATAAGAAAAATCTGTGAAACATTGACTCTCAGAATTATTAGGTCGAATTACTCGGAACCACAAAATTTCTAATACGCGTTGTGAGGAAAATTAGCAACGTTTTGCAGTTTTTAGTCACCAGTGCCACCTTACACCCGTTTGAAGCATACTTTAGTGCCCATATCGCACACCATCTTCAAAAGAGACACAACTCAAAAATCACATCCGAAAATATAACTGCTTGTGGATGGTAGAGATTCAACGCAATCAATACAAAAACAGGTGTAACAATAGTTTTCTGGTTGAGAATATATAAAAATCTTGCTCTTCGGTGAGCTAGTGTTGCGCAGGTGGTAATTCGGTGTTCTTCACCACACGCCGATTGAGCTCGTTTTTACTGAAACATAGGAATTTCTTTGAGTGATGGTGCCCCTCTAACTTATCCCAATAGCTAGCAGTGCAGGATATTACGCACTTGTTGAGGTCCCTCTTGATATCATTGTTGTTGAATCCAAGAAGCTTGAAAATACGTTTTTTCATTACGATCATAGCCCTCATGACCAGGCACCCAGATTAAGAATACCCTATTTCGGGCGACTATGGCACTCTATAATGGTTTTTGATGAGAACGAGTTGAGAATATAATCATGAAGAAAAAAATATTTGTATTAATTGGAGATAAATCGTACGAATTCTTTTATGCTCAAAACTTGACCTAAATTGGTGTGCGATATGTTCGGAAACTGGGCTTGAACCCAGGCCCGGGAAATGGTAGCGCGCACTGCTAACCACTACACCACAGCGGCAGCCTTGTCTTACTGAGTTGTAGTAGTACACAGCTCCGACCAAGGCCCATCCATATAAGGTGGTGGCAATTGCATATAAGTAAAAATCTCGTGTATTTTGTTATTGCTTTTTGGTATGTACATCAGGATGTCAAAATTAAAGAAAATAGGAGATAATTTTCGCCAAATTTGGTTTTTTTTGACATCCTACAGTTACGCCATTTCGTCTTGGATGACATCCTCTTGTATTAGTGTAGAGACAAAAATATCCAATCAGCTGTTCAATCAACACCACCTTGTATTGATGCGCCTTGGCTCCGACCACTCACCTACCGCGGACGTTAAACTGAAATGCTTCCGAATCAATGGTTCTGTCTGTCTATGCTATAGGATACATGGGTAAATTTAGCATTCGCAGGTATTGTAAAAAATTTAGTTTCACTACTTCCACAGTAGGATATGTCTCCTTGAACCATTCCAACCACCGCTACCTAGTGGATAGAGGTGCGTACGGGCACTCCCCTTAAGATTTTATTTTACTCGCAATTCATTCATTGTTTTTTAAGGATTTTTCTATTTCCAATTTGGCAATATATTTGGTTTGTTAATTTAAGCGCGAGACCACAAAACTTTGCCAATTATCTATCTCCTTAGCAAAATCCTGTCAATTGTTCATACAAAGTGCAGACGTAGGTCCTTCTGCATTTGGTCTTTCCATTGCGTTCGGGCGCGGCAACATTTCCAAGTCAGCGAAATCATTATTTCCATTTGCTTGCATAGAATAATTCTCTCGAACGCCTTCAAAACTTATTCATCTTTGTTCGTCATCTCTTCTCCTTCTGAGCGAGACAAAGAATTCTCTGCTTTTCAATTTCCTACCGAGCTCAAAGCAGCACTTAGGATGACAGTGAAAAGTATCCATTGAATTTTGAACACTTGAACGAAACCTATTTTTATATCGAAGAAAATGTTCAACAACCTCGACGAAAAAAGTGTCAAAAATCAGCGATAATTCCTAAGCCACTTAAAACTTGCACTTTATTAACTAAAATTCAATAGGCTACAAAACTGCATACCCACTATTTTTTGCTAAAAGCTCTGATTCAAAAGTTTGAGATTTCGATGACAAGTTTTTAAAATGTGAAAAATACTTGGGCATTCTGTACGAAGTTTGAAACTTTGATGTGTTTGATTTTAGTTATAGACTAAACTATAGTTTTATTACAAATTTACGAAAAAGATGTATCATTGAAAACATTTTGAATATTGAAAGAAAATTCCCTAGAAGCTTTTTACTGTGGGTCACTGTACTATTATTTTATTATTATTTATTTAGCATTCACTGTTACCAGATTTTCTGACGGAATTTTCGAGTTTAACTAAAATAGGCTGAACTGGTTTATACTATTCAGTGTATTTTGCCTATTACTGTAATATATTAAAGAAAAAATATAAAAATATGACTTTGTACTCTATAGTGACCTGAGCCGAGTGGATGCCTACTAATACCTGGTAGGCTCGAGTTCTGGTCCGAGCATCATCCATATAGATACATACATATTTTTTTTCTTATATCTGCCAATTCTGCACAAAAAATTTTAACCTCAGAATGTATGTATATACACTCACCAGAATAAGTTTCCGTACAGTGTTTTTTTTTAATACTTGTAATGTTTTTCATAATAAATTTTTTTCGTTAATTTTTTATAGAAATGTTTCTGCATCAAATGGCATATAAATTAATGATTTAAAAAATTTAGGAAAATTCGACAAATTTTTACCAAAATTTTCAACTTTTAAACAACATTTTTTTGAGTATGCAGTTTTTTAGTTCACTCAATTTTGGTGTAATAAAGTACAAGTTTTAAGTGGCTATAAACTATCGTTGATTTTTGAGATTTTTTTTTGCTGATGATGTCGCTTATTTTCTCCATATAACGGATGCGTGATAACGGGTGATTTTTTAAGAGCTTGATAACTTTTTTTTTAAAAAAAACGCATAAAATTTGCAAAATCTCATCGGTTCTTTATTTGAAACGTTAGATTGGTCCATGACATTTACTTTTTGAAGATAATTTCATTTAAATGTTGACCGCGGCTGCGTCTTAGGTGGTCCATTCGGAAAGTCCAATTTTGGGCAACTTTTTCGAGCATTTCGGCCGGAATAGCCCGAATTTCTTCGGAAATGTTGTCTTCCAAAGCTGGAATAGTTGCTGGCTTATTTCTGTAGACTTTAGACTTGACGTAGCCCCACAAAAAATAGTCTAAAGGCNCCCCGTTAGTTTGTTTTTTTTTTTTTTTGTATGGGGAAAAATACCCCAGAGCGTCAGTAAAAAAATTCTCAAAAATCAACGGTAGATTATAGCCTCTTAAAACTACTTAAACTGTACTTTATTATACTGAAATTGAGCGAACTAAGAAACCGCATACTCAAGAAAATTATAAAAAGTTTTGTTTAAAAGTTGAAAATTTAGATGAAATTTTAGATAGAATTTTCCTAAAATTTTGAAAAAACTTTGAATCATTAAGTTATATGCCATTTGATGCAGAATGAACTATATTTCTATTAAAAATTAACGAAAAAAAATTTTAACAAAAAATATTGCAAATATTAAAAAAACACTTTACAGAAATATATTCTGGTCCACATTCATATTTGTATTTGTTTTTTTTTCTATTTGAACATTTTACTTCCTTTCAATTCGTAAGTAAATAGTCGTTGCAATGCTAATACCACGGCTCAGAGTTATGCCAAACAATAAAAGTTGCACATCGAAATTGCCAATAAAATTTATTAAAATAAATTACAGAAAAAAGTGCTGAATAATATTCAAAAAACAATTTATGTATGTGCATTCGAGTTTATGATATTTATGAATTTCGCGGCATATTAAATTCACCAGAATATTTTGGTATTTTGGTTTTTTGGTTGGTTTTACGAAAATATCGACATCTATACTCGATGTCGCAGGTTGACTGTCAGCTTTAATTCAAGTGTATTTAGATGTGTTGGCAATGACCAGCACAACGATGACCATCGCCCTACGCAAACAGAAAATTCATGAGAAAATTGTGGCTACAGCAAGCAAAATTTGTATAAATATTTTTGAGAGCGGTGAACAAAAAAATGGGCTATAAATAAAAATATATACATAAATATTATACCTAGTATACCTAGTAGCACAATATATGTATGTACATACGTACATACATACATACGTTTGTATTCAACACGCAAATAGGCGTCTTCTACGCGCAAAATGCGTGTCAGGGTTTTTGGCGGCCCTTAGTTTGCACAAAATAAATCAAATTAATTTGTAGTGTAAAATAAAATTAAAAATTAAAATATCGCAATTACATACAAATCACACAAAAAACACAGCAGCCAAAGCAAAAATACATAAATAAAATAGAATCAGCAAAAATAAAATATAAAAAAAAAACTGTAAAACTGGGCATAAAAACCGTTGCGGTTGATATCCTTAGAGAGCTAGAGGGAGAGCATATTTTTTATGGCACATTTTAGAGGACTTAAAGCGCTTTTATGCTAATATTTTTATATCACAGCGCCGACAGGCGGACGTGAATGGCTTGATTCTTGATAAATAATAAGGCTGCGGACGAGGGCGATGGCAATGGTTGTGGTGGGTGACTGAGAGAATGTTGCTGTGTAGGTGGAGAGTACAACAGCTCGCCAGTATATTAAAGGCTAAATCAAGTATTTCCTCACCCGCCGCCTACTATACAAAATTATTCGTTTGTGTGAATGTGTTTTTTTTTATGGCGATGTTATGATTTCTACCGGTTTGTTTAAGGGTTACCATGACGGCCCTCCTGCGACACAAGTGCTATTACAAATGCATGCCACAACATAGCAACGAACACTGGCTGTTTGCTACAAATGCGTCACAAACAGCTACACAACCACCTTTGGCCATCTCAAGCAGTTCTGTGTTGCCCTTGTCGCGTCACAAACATACACTCGGGCTATTTTGTATAATGCACACCCACTCCATGAATGTCTGGTTAAAATAACCTCGATCTCATCTTCTTTTAGCCCCAATCGAACGTTATTACTCTGGGGTGTTTATACATATGTATGTATGTATGTATATGGGTTGTCTGTGCACTTTTAGTCTGTGCCTAACTCATTCAATGCCATCATGCTCTTTGATATGTGTGTATGAACGTTAAAGTGCCAAGTCGACCGTCACGAATTCGTCAAAGTAAATTGTAAACTTCCGATAATTTTACTGCAAAATTTTCTGATCCCATCACACCATACCCATATTGATGTATTTATGTATGTATTCACAATGGCATGTTGTCACGTTATTTCCCGGCAAAAAATGTTGAACCATGTGGTCCATTTTTGCCATATTGAAGTATTTATAAAGTGCTTCTCTGTAATACAGTAGTGGACCAACTCGTGTAATCACTACATGATATTGATTAGGCTGTGTTGCCAAGAGGTAGGTACTCCATGAAGTAATCCCTTGGAGTAGTTTTGTTCTCCGCTGATATAATGCAGCGCTGGAGTATATGGCCCTGCTCTAGGACTTCTTAATGTTAATTGCACCACACTTGTATATGCATTTCGATTCATTTTGGAGTACTCCTTGCACCTTGGGAAGTAGTCCTTACATGCGTGTTTGGAGTAGTCACGATTTTTGTATGGTTGTTTCTTTTTTTATGCACGTATGGGGCTCTCATTGCCGTGATTCCCTGTTGGTTCTCGTCAAATATTCGTATTTCAAAGCAAATATTAAACCTGGGTTTTAAACAGAAACCGATTTTAGGAGAACTAGGTAGGGCTCGGACCAGGCAGTCCAGGGTTCGCAGCCCCAGTCATACGTTCTGGCATCGAAGCTGGCGTCAGAGATTGGTTAAATATTTCGCTCAGCAATGACTGGGAGACTTCGTGGTGCTGAAAGTGGGCAAAACTCATGGTTCCCTCAATCTGTGAAGGTCTAGCTATGTAACTGCTTACTGTCTTTGAACAGATAGGACTACGGAAAACTTTTGGCATTGCTGAGTAGCTGAGTGATGCGGTATTTTTGTATGTACTTGAATAACCAAGCAGCTATTAAGGCTCGTAATTTGTAGTCGGGGTCATATGCATATAGACTGTGAGAGCTTGGCAATGAAAAAGCTAACATATTTGTGAGTAGCTTTTGGAAAGCTGCTGTGGAATGTAGCTGAGTACCCCACAATGCTATAGTCAGCCATCTCTTTTTCATCAAAACATTATGACTGCTTGCGTACTCACAGCGTCAGCTCTAAACATTTGCAGATGAGTACTTAAACGGGATTGGTGGAAGAGACTCGGTTTTTATATAGCATGTGTAGGACTACGTTCCAATAAATAGATACGGGCCTCGTGCTTCGACAGAACAATCCTAATAGATGTCGACCTCATGGAGCTCAGCCAAACGAGCTTTCTTCTTTTTTACCAAAGCGAAGCTCCGCCTGTTTAAGTTTCTCAAACTTTTGGAATCATAAGAAGATCGTTTAAAACTCAAATTCGGATTAACGCTGCCGTCGTTTTGAGCTATTAGTCAGCAATGAGCTAATCCAGACTACTTGCAATGAACAAGTGTCTAAGTGTCTGCGACTGTGAATATCTCCAGATCTAATAACATTACCTTGGACTGAATAGCAGTTAAGCGAACAAAAAACACACTTTGTACATCTCTGAAAATTCTTGTGACTTTGTAGGGCACAGATGCATAAACGGTGGCAACAATTGAACCTTGCAAAGTTTGAAAAAAAAAAACATTCTGTAGAAGCTTTGTGAACTGTGGCGTGCTATCAACGGTGAATGTGAACATACAATGAAATGAGGAGCTGTTTGAAATCTACTGTCAAATAGTCAATGAACAACCAATTAAAATACTGCAGACAAACTGGATGCGCCATTTGACGGCTATTTTCAGCTTTCGATAACAATTTACACAAACTTAACACTTTCATGTGTTCAGATGCCTTTGAACCATTCCTCTCTATGATTCAACGTACGAGTATGCCACCTATTAGCTTTAAAGTTAAAAATTTAACGTCACAATGTATCACCAGCGCTATTTACGTTCCAACATGGACATACATATGTATATGTACAGTTAAAACAAATATTTTTTCTTCAGCTACACAGAATACCTGCCGTATAATTTCGTAGTCGTTGTATAATTAGTTAGTTGTTGTTGCACAGTTCGATCACACAGCTAGAGGATGCTGTTTGTATAAGTTGATTGGCTGCAGCAGTGTAAACAGTGGCGATAACAACAGCGTCCTCAGTTACCATTTTGCAGTCGTTTTTTGCAATGTTATTTACCCAAAGTTAATATGGCCAACATGTCTCTCGCCTTTATCAGCCTGCCGCCAGCAAAGTCTGTTGGCTCATTAATTAATTCGATAGTTAAATAGAATAATGATTGAAATGTAAGCAACGCGTCTTTTTAAAACTAAATTTTGACTAAAAGTCTTTTAGCATAATTTTTTCTAAAATTGACATAAATGGCTATTGCGTCAAATACAAATTACTTTCCGACCTGGCTAAGCCATTAAGCCTTTGAGTTAAGCAACAAATCAAACAAACATACATATACACTGCCATGCACTAGAATAGGGGCAATGTTTTGGTTTCCTTTTTAACCGACTTCCAAAAGAGGAGGAGGTTATCAGTTCGTCGGAATATTTTTTTTTTATTTTTTTTATGTATGTTACCTCATAACTTTGGACCACGTCAACCGATTTCGATAATTCTCCGATCAGTGGATCACGAGATATATATATATATATATTTTTTTTTTATATGATAGTTGAAGTCGCTTTTATTTTGCTAAAAATTACTTGTTATCTTGTTTATTTTCCTTTATTTATTTTCATTGTTTGGCAATTAAAACACAGTTCATTCTCTAACAAAACCCATTAAAAAAAAATTCAAACTTTGTAAAAATTTGTAAAAAATCGTCAAATTGTCATCACAGTTCTTAAACTCAAGAATTGTTACAACTTCTTTGAGTACCTATACAGTTTTGTAGCCCGTTGATTTTCAAAATTTTTTTACCGACGCTCTTCCACAATTAGATGGAAAAAATTGCGTCAGTAAAAAAATTTTGAAAAATCAACAGTAAGAGCGCGTTTACCCACGAACGTGTACGTAGCGTAGCGTGGAAGTACGTAGAAACATATCATGTTTGCGGTTGATAGAGAGGGAGAAGCAATGTCTACGTCACGGTCATGCGGTGGTGAGTTTTCGTTAACACGCAGATACCTTAAGATAGGTCGTGTCAGCTGACACGTTCTCCGTTTTTACGTCCGTGGGTAGCTGCGCTTTAATACAAACGTATGTATGTGACTATTTCAAAATCCAAAAAAATTCTTAAAGTTTAAAATTTTTAAACTTGCGTTTATATCGTTTTAATCAACCGTATTTTAATTGAAAAGTAACGGAAATTAAATAAAAGAATAATAATCCAGAAAAACCCGAAAAACGTTGCCCCTATTCAAGTGGATGTGAGTGCATGTATAGGAAAAATTAACACAACTACTTTGCTATTTACTAAATTTCCATGTATTTACATCAAGCTTGCCTGAGTATTTAAGATATGAGTAGTACTCACCTACTATCTAATGTTGTAGTTTCAGCTGTTACTTACCTTCATTGCTGCTGACTGCTTATTCTAACTAAGCTGTGTGTAGACATAACACAGATTTATACTTATGTACATATTTCTTGTTCAGTAGAGCCCCTTCCACACACATACTTATATACATACGTATACACGCAAATCTAAAAAACGAAAACTGAAATATTTAAAAGCAAAACACTGCATTAGAAACGAACATCCAGCTGGCGAGCACCTTCCATGTAGCAGCCAGCAATTTGTTACTGTATTCGTGTTTTCTCTGAAGCCCTCGTTGCCTTTGCATTTAAATATATGCTTGTGTTTGTACGTCATATTGATATTGAAACAAGTGTGCAAGTTTGCATGTCGAAGGACAACAAAAATTGCTTTCCTTGCAGGTTTATTAAATTTTTATACCACAAAAGGGGGGCGAAGGTTTCCCTAATGCAGCGATTAATTGTCACTTTATAGCTCCACTCTTCAGTCTAGTAATATATAATAATTTCAGTTTTTTTTTATAAATTTTATAGTTTATAGCAATTTTTAGCGCTAATGAAGGAAATGCGAGCCAACACTTTCAACTTGAATATTCCGTAATAGGTGCAAAAACGTCTCAAATGTTATGATTTTTCGAAGAAAATTTTGCATCTGTTTACATACATATTCGATATGTCAATATTATTACTTTAAAGATTTTCGCATGCAAATTCTAAATATTTGCCAGAACTTTTTGGTATTTACATACAGATTCACATCATTTCTTAAACTACTTTGTCAGGCTCTTTTGCATTTCTAGCTGCTCAAACATTTCTTTGAGATAATCATAATGAATCCGATTATACGTAAAAGGTTCTTGCATAAATTTCCGCTTTGTTTGCAGTCACCAAAAGTCTTTACAATTTTGGGTCATTACACTAAATTCGTTCAATCAAATATAAAATTCTCATACATTTTTAACACAAAGCTTAAGGCATAAGAATAATCTTTTAAGTAGTTTTACACCGATTCCAGATTCGAATCACACCAACGCTGCCTGCGCATCGAGCCCGCAAACAATACATAACTTCATCAGTTTCGATTCAACTTCCTTGCTGTCACGGGCACTACTCACTTTTCATTTCATTTGACACAAAAATTAAGGATCTTATCGAATCAAAAATACAAGTAAAACATTTCCCTTTATCAACGCTAGTGTCCGTTTTGGTTTTGCGGTAAATGATGTTGGTAGGTTTGCTTTTGTTTACTTTGCCTTTGTTGTGCGGATTGTAACTGGATGCTGACTTTCTAAGCTATATATTCAAATATGTATGTATGTATTGCTTTTGACACATTTTCTTTAGTATAATTTTTGCTATAATCGATTACACTGGATGGCAAATTTTAATTTGGTTTTCCAGACGCTACTATCCAATTTGTATGAAGAATCGCCCGCTGATTCCAAAAATCTAATTTTCGAGATATTTTCAATTTACCGTTATTCAGCTTAAAACAAAAGGTGATTCCACTTAGTCACTTATAACTCATGAACCATTTTAACAAACTGAAAGTGGAATACGACAAATGAAAGCTAAAAAAATTTTCCATAAACCGTTTTATACGTCACTTTCCGATAGGATGGATAGTTTCTGACAAATTAATTATTCATTCCAGATTTTTGGTTTTTTCTTGATGAAAGTATGAAAAAAAAAACACTTTAAAGGAATGAAAATCTAAAAATAACAGATTCTGTGTCAAATTTTTACCTTTGTGCTAAAGCCTGTTCTGCTGTTCTGTTACAATAAAATCACGCTGATAATGAAGCAAATCGATGAATAAATAAAGAAGTAATGAGTGTGCGCAAATGAAAATGCGCAAAGATTTTTTGTATGAGAAATGAGCAGGAAATAATGTTACTCATACGCCATGCACACCTAAAGGGTACGCTTTTATGCACTCATTACTTCTTTACTTATCCGTCGATTTTCTTCATTAGTAATGATTTTTTTTTTTTTTTTTTTGAAACAGAACCGGCTAAATTTTGACACAGAACCTGTTATTTTTTAATTTTTCTTCTGTTAAAGGGTTTTTCTTCATATTTTCATAATAAAACAAAAACTCTAGAATGATTAATCAATTTGTCAGAAACTATCAGACCTATCGAAACGGGGTGTAGTATATACGGTCTATGTAGAATTTTGTTCCATAGAATAAAAAATTAAGTCCATTTTCGGAATCAGCGAGCCATTGGTTATAGGAATTGGATAGTGGCATCCTTTAAACATTTTTGCTGTAAACCAGTGTCAAACTCATAGTACTTTCTAACTTTATATTTCAAACAATCTCCAGAATTGAGAGCTATGTCTTTGCGACTACACTACACTAGAGAAGTGCACAAGTAGTCAAGGCACTCCCACTATCTATTTTCTTGATAATACTCGCTTGAGTGTACATCTCTTGGCCTGCCAAGCGGAACTGGCTTAAGAAGATAGAAAAACCTTATTGCATTTACATTCAAAAAATGTTAAACAATTTTTTTTTTTTGCAACAAACACGTGGAAAACAAGGGCCTTCTAAGCGCTTCCAACCAAAAACCAGAATTTAAGCGAATTTGCCAAAAGCTATATAATATATCTTCGAACAAATTTTTTTTCTGTACTAGTGCGGTTAGTGCGCCAAAGAAGAAGAAAAAGAAAAGATCAAAAAAGGGCTCCGCCATTCTGAATTTTTTAAATCTTATTTCAGATTCGTAATCATCGACCTCGAAAACTTTGAAATAAGTCATTATCTATATATATTCGCTTCTTCCCGAAAAGAGGGTATTTTAAGCGGTGCATTAAAGGCACAGGGTATAATTTTTCAAGCCTTTTAACATCTTGCAGGTTCAGTTTCATTGATTGAGATTTAACCCATTTACAAATTCCTATCTAAATTGTTCGTAAAACTTGTATCGGACGTATAAATACACATTACTCTTGTGTGCGTATGTAAATATATACACACACACATATGTTCTGCCTCTGTGTGAGTTATGTTGTTCCCTTAGGGGCTTGTCAACCATTTTCGATGTAGACATTCGCAACTAGATCACTTCTTTTAACACAACCAGTTTAATATTAGTATACCCTATGCTGATAAGACTATTTATCAAAAGTAAAATAAAGTTGATGTGAGTAATATTAAAAGAAAAAAAAATGAAAACGGCCACTTTGAACGACTGAACAACAAACCATAGCTGGAACACATAAATAGCTGGAACATTGCAGCACAATGGAGAGAGCCCCCACCCCCCACCCTGTTGAATACGCCTACACTTTTTAAGTGTTGCCACGTGTTGATGTGGGTGCGTCGGCAACAAACTTCTCTGCATGTATTTATATGTAAATATTTATGCTGGGCCTGCGATGTTTTCCGACAATCTTTTTAACTATTCTGTTGGTTGGCAGAGAGCCTGTTCGTTTACGTATGTATGTATGTATGTGTTTATATTCTGTTTACAATTTTACATGTACTACGAACATATGGATGTTTGTGAGTATTCGTGATAAATGCAACTATTCGTAAAATGAAAGCTGTGATAGCCATACATATATAGTACGCACCTAGGCTTATGTACATTGCACACACATTTGTTGTGTATTTCCTTCGTAAGCTACTAAAGTTTGTGCTCGTATTTTGTGTACACACTTACATACATACATGTACTCTAATAGATAATTTATATATGTAAGCCTGCACTCCCTTCACTCCGCCATTTGTCATTTGTACTATTCTCGCAGCACCAATTTAATTCCATGCGCTTGGTTACATTTCGATGCGCCTCACTTCTTTGCTTCATTTCCGTGCTGCTGGCGTAGTATTAGTTTTCTCAGCTCTGATGCCGGAAAAGCTTATTTTCTATTAAGAGGCTATCACCGATAGTCATTTCCATTGCGTAAGGAATGTCATATGATATATGTAAAGGAAATAGCGCATATCCAGTAAAAGGATATGATGAAAGTGAAAATATCGTAATGATAATGACGTAGAAAACTTAAGGAAATGACATAGCAGAAACAAAACAGACTAAGAATTTGCTAGATATGAAATTTATTTTGGGAATGGATGTGTACTTTATTTATGCAAATACATACATACATATGTATCTATGTTGTATATTTATATTTACTTACTTAAATGATGTGTAGGATATTTCAATTAATTAATTATGCTCTATGTGTGTAGATAAGTTTGGCTGAAGAAATTTACTTTAGCAATGCAATAAAATCAACTTTTGGGATAACTGTTTGAGGAACCGGATGTTGTGATTTTGTTATATTAAACTTGCTACGAAATGATTAATTTACTTTGATGTTGCTAATGAACTGAGAAACTGAAAGAAATTCATATAGATATGGCTCTTATTGGCACACAAATGTAAATATGTGGCTTCGCCAAAGTCTAATACGGCCAAGGGAGAAAGCGGATTACTCATTGAAAAATTGCGATGACTCCGCATACAAGCTACTGAGTATTGTTTTATCAATTTTCTGCTCAGCTTCTTTTGCTTACATTGCTCAGCCACGGATACTGAATTTGAGCATCAGAAATCTTATAAGTCAGTTAGCAATTTTTCTTAGGAATTTAGTAAACACCCGA